AATTAAATGAATAAATGCATCGGAACAAAGTGTCATTCAATCTGTCTACGCCGTGAATCTCTGGTTGTATTCATCTCTTGCTCCTCTGGTGTCTGGCACTTTTATTTGTCTGCTGCAGCAGCTGAGGAAATCGCTGGTGGTCAGAGCTAAACTGTGTGGAGAACATACGACACCATCAAGCTCAGAGATCTCCCGATTGCTGATGGGTTCTGAGATTGCCTTGTAGGTAAAAAATATCCTTTTCAATCTACCGCAGTCACATTGACATGCTTGTTTTCTGTGGGTTGCTTAGTCACAGTAGTCAGCTGAAAGTGTCGAGGGTGCAAGTGAAGCTGTTGGGTAACAGGCTGTGTGTTGGCAGTGCACAAAATCACTGTGTTTTTTTTTTTTTCAAAGGTGGAACAGGGAAGTGTGATTTCCTGCTGGTCGCACCGCTAGTGACCCTGCCATTCTGTCTCTTGGCTCTGGTGTGACCACTCCAACCCTGTGTCTGAGTCATCCTACAGCGTCTAATGCTTTATGCTCACATTGTCTTCGGAATTTCCCCCATGCTCTCCAATTTCTGAAAACATTCAGAATGTCTGATATATTGAGGCTTCTGTAGAGTACAATTTAATTCCTTCCCTTTGTGTTTCTGTATTGTAGAAAATCTCTGCAAAACAGCTTTTTTATTTCAAGAAATACTTCTGGTTATGTTCAAAAAACAAACTAGAAATGTGGGTCAACTTTAGTATTTCTGGCCACAGATCTAGTTTGCTGCAAACGTAGCTTTCTCCATAAAGAAGGAGGTTTTACAGTTATGTATTTTCAGAGTGGTGGTGTTGTGTTCTTGCAGCGCTCTGGTTGTTGAGGTATGGTCGAGCAGTTCAGTCTCCTCAGGCCATTGTTTGGTGTGGGGTTTTATGGGAGGCTGAAAGCAGTTGGAAGCTCAGTCTTGATTCATGAGTGGTGGAGAAACTGTTCATCAGCCCTGTGTTCGCATAAAGAACAGACTTGCTGCTATTAAGCCTCAGGGATATCACTATCTCTGCAACACTGGGCTGGATTCTGACTTGTGCATTGGGATCTGTCTGTGCTTCAGCTTATAAATTTCTAAACCCTTTGAAACAGATTATAACGACTTGTTGGCTAATGAAGTTTTCCCTGATCTGAAGGCGTAATAACCTGTTTTGGATGTATGAGGGAACCATAGGAATACATGAATTTTTTGCTAAAAAGAGAAGAGGCTGTGGAAAGAACTTGAAAGTCCAACTTATTTGCATATATAAAGTTAGTATAATGAAAGAACTGGAAGCTAAATGGGTAACAGGATTTATCTGAACCATAAAACCCCACAATTAACTCTCAGTTTTTAACCGAACATAAAAGATTAACTAAGCTCCTCATCTTGCCAAAAACCGAAGAAAATGTGTAAAACAAATAATTGCCAAAGACCCTGAAAAGCTTTATAAATGTTACCAAAAAGAATCAGTCGATGGCTCTATCAAAAGTTAGCAAAGGACAAAAGGCCAAACAGAATCACCTAAAGGTCTTTTAAAAAAAACAGACCTCCTACCATAGACTTTATAAAAACATGGACGTAGTCTCAGTGCCATGACCCATTGGTGTCTGAAGAGAGGTTATCAAGCCCAACAATGGAGGTCATCATATTTGAAATGTTATCTCAACCCAACTTTCAATCGATTAAAAAAACAGGCAACAAGAGGTGGACCTGATGTGGGTTAGGGTTAGTCTGTTAAGTCTGTTTTGACACACATGCATTGGATCATTGGCTTATTTCTCTTAACGTTGAACATCTTTATTGTCTTCAGATTATTGTATTGGAAAAAGTAGGAACCCTTTTTGTGTCAGGCCAACATCCAGTCATCATATCGGCACTTGTAGAAGAAGTCGAAACAAATGTTGAGGTACAACAAAAACACACAAATGAAAGATTGAGTTTGTCTTTTCATAAAAGTCTCTATAAAAAGATTTTAGAGCTGACTAAGTATGAAAGATCACTTGGATTCATCTCTTGATAAACCTAACATCCAGGCTCATATCATGCTGCTGTTTACAAATGGATCTTTAGACACAAACCAAAAGTTGTCGGGAACATGCCGCCCGCGCTGAAACATTCTCGGCTAAACTCTGCTGACAGTCGGCCAGCTGCCATTAATTTCACTTTCTTCTTCAGACACATCTCTCTCCATAATGGTTCATTCATTACCTCCAATAGACGTCGAGGATTTATGCTTTGGCTCGCCTTGAGCTTTGGCTGCACTTTGCCAAGAAGACAGCTGGTAATTCTTTAATATACCGACACACACGCATCATCATTATTCAGCAGAATTAAAGGCTAGTAATTTTTCCCCCCTCTCACCCCCACTGACATCCCGAGCTGTCCATGTGTACATCTGGAAAATAAAAGCTGACGTAGCTTTTTTTCCCCCTGAAATGATTCCCTTGTTTTCTCGAGCACAAGTTCAAACAAAGGAAACACTCTGCAGGGGGCTTTCAGATACTTTAAATCACCGCTTTGCATCATCACTAGCTGATTAATTATATCATAAATAAGTAAAGTGCCCCCTGGTTCAGCTTCTTAAATATACAAGAAGGATTGCATTACAGGTAGATTTACTGCTTAACCATAACCCTTTTTCTAGTAGGTTATATCTAGCTTTCACATTTTCATTGTATACAGCTTACTCAAAAAAGTCTCCAAATGTAGTTTTTCCCACTTGAAACAGTGTCAGTATGTTGATTTTATGGATTTGATGATTGGTCAATAATTGGCTTCTTTTGCATTAGTTCCTCCATCATGCAGCGAGGAATGGAGGCACCATCATCTGATGGCACTGCTGAGGTGTTATGGAAGCCAGGTTGCTTTGATAGCGGCCTTCAGCTCGTCTGTATTGTTGGGTCTGGTACATCCTCATTATAATACAAAAGATTAATGCATGGATGCTAGGCTTAGAGATGAACATGTAATCACACCTCCATAGATTACAACACATTGTGATGAACATTGTCCACCACAGCCTCTTAAATATCCTCAATACCTGCTACAGTCAGCATGGGTCTTAAACACCATTTTTGATGCTGTCGTGTAATACCGATGCTCTGGTGTACACGTTGTTCTCTACAGACTTAAGATAACATCTTTAATCCCTGTAAAAAAATCACACAACAACTGTTTCAATATGTTACATGAGAGGCGTTCATGTCTGTAGAATATGTCATGGCAATCCATCCAATGGCTGTTGAGAATTATTCAAAGGATTGCTATGTGGTTTTTTTTTTCATGCTAAGATTAGAGATGTTTTGTTAAGTCATCAGGTCAGGATTTGTTGACCATCTCCGTTGCACAACATTGTTTATTTTGCAATGGTTTCCTTGAGACATTTGGCCAAAACGATGGAACAATTGACTGACATTGCCACCCAAAAGGAAACGCTGGTAAAAACAGGTGGCACGCCTTGTGAGTCAAGCTCTGTAGATTAAAGGATATGTTTTCTAGAGGATGTTACACGTTTTTACACGTGCATCACTGAGCTAAGCACTCTCTCAGGAGTGATTGCATGCGTGTCTGTGGAGGGCAGGGTGAGGTCCTGCTTGAAACCCAGCAGGCTATCTCTGCAGATAAAATGGCACACAAGTGACTGCGTCTGAGATCACATGCCACTCAAACTGTGCAGTCATACCTGAGAGTGACAGAGGATGCTGGGGACGAGGGGAGGAAATGTATGAAGGGAATAAGTTTGCAGTTGGACGAGGAGCGAGGGGAACTAAAGGAGTTTGAGCTTTAGTAGCTGAGCCGCTGCGTCTGATTGCAGCTCTTGATAAAGAAAAGTATCAGATAGGCAGTCAGAGGATTTCTACAGTTGTTGGTGGACTATGGATTGGTCCACCTGTTTATCTCTTTGCCGATCTTTGAGAGGGCTGATTGGATTTTGACAGCACTTGCTGGAACGATGGCGCTTAACTTGTGTTTTGAAATGACATGTCAGGGTAGTGTCACAACAGCCCGTCAAAACAGTATTTAACCACAGTCGAGCAAACATGCATGCGTATTTATTCAAAACAAACGTTAGAACTGACCTCCAAGGTATCTTGGAACAAATCTGAAAATCTTAAATTAAATGTTTCCTGACACCATTAGGCTGTTAGTGAAAAGAAACAAGAAGTTAGATTTGATCAGGGGCATTTTCCCTGAAGATTACAATCCTGTTTTTAACAGCCCGTCACAGATGAAGCTATGTGCAGAAGCAATGGCAACGCTTCCTTACCTTTTTAGTCAATTAGGGCGCACTTACGCTAGGAAAAGTTGTCCCATACCTTGCTAAAGCACTATTAGCACACTAGTCAAATGAACTGGACCTTGGGGGTGAAGTGTTCTTAGGCACAGTGAGGATTGCCTAGTGTGAGCGCACCCTTGGACCCCAAAAGACATGGCTGAGGTTTAAGAAGAATACAAAAAAAAGTCTCAATAGAAGCTGAAAACAACAGATGTTTGAATGTTTAATCAATGAAATAACCCAACCTGATTAATTGATGATGTTAGTCGATGATTAAAGCTCTAATTAAAGCTTCGAGACGCACCAAAAGACAGCCTCAAGAATCTTCATTTTTCATTAAAAACGTCTGATAGGAAAAAAAACAACAACAATCGGCTAAAACCAGAAGTATTAATAGGTTTGAATTGAACAGATGTTGATGATACTCATCCCCTGTAAATCACGTTTACTGACTGATGAGCTCTGACATTTACGACATCATTCACAGCTGCTGACATTTTAACGTTATTGCCTCAGTTTCTAAGTATTTGCTGCTTCTTTATATTGGATACTAAAGAGAGTTCCTCACTTAAGGCCTGATTTTACAAGACAGCAGTGTTGTTCCTGTCATCCTTTTTCTGTGCTGTATATTGAGGGGATTTCTAAGCTGTTTGTTTGGTAAGATGTGGAATAATTTTGTCTTGTACACCACTGATCATGTTGTTCTCTTTTCTCTTCCTGCAGAGCATTTTCACCGTCATGTTGGGGCCTTTCACCTTCTTCACCGCCCAGAAAACAAAGTATCTTCAGATTCTCACCTCACTCATGCGTTGGATTGGTAAGATCAAACTCATCTTCATAATGTGACAATTTGGACTTCCTCACATGTTTCCTCTTCATTTCCCTTTTCCAGTTCTGTGTTTCCTCTTAGCTCTCTCTTTCTGCCTCCTTCTTTTTATACCGACACATATTTCCATTTTCCCAGCGTCTTCCCCCATTTCTTTCATCCCTCCCTCCCTCCCTCCCTCCCTCCCTTCCTCCTTCCCCTTGCCCGTGCGGCGCCTCCGCTCAGGTCCGTCCATCATGGTTCGGTCCTGCTCTGTGTCTTTGATTCCCATCTCCTCTCATTCCTCAGCCTGACAGGCCTGACAGCCCGTCCCAAGCTTGATTGGACCGTCACTCACAGGGCGACGGGCGAAAATAAACCGTCCGTCCTCGGCCCCGATGTTAAAATCACAGCACCGCTGAATCATGGCGCTCCAGCCGTTCCCATGCACAGCTGGGTGCTCGGTGGCATAAACAACGCAAACACATCCACACGCTGTCCACTTAGAAACACGAGGGTTTTAGCTGCACCTCTTACTCTTCTTTTATCTCCTCTCCTCCCTCTCACGTGTTCTGTCTTTGATTGGTGTTGTCTTGTTTGCAGGGCTCTTTACAACACTGCCGGTTGATTCAAAAAGGCTCTAGTACATACTGTGTTTACTCCTTGTACTTGAGCAATATGAGATAAAAAACAGACATCCCAAGCTTCAAACCTCCAGGAACATTTAGCTTTAAATCATGAAAAAATCAGACAGTCTGTTTAGTCTAAAATAGTCCGAGTCTGTAGATGTTGAACACACTGATAAATGTCGAGTGGTTGAGTTTAAATGTTTATATGTGTGCGACAGTTACAGCCACAACTACTGCGATGTGGACTCTAGCCTCTGTACACGGAGCGGGACTTAACTGCCAGTTATAATAGCCGATGTGGTTTCTAACACCCCGATATTTGACTACTTAACCTTCTGGTGGGGTAAAGCTTCATATAAACAACCGACATTCATCCTTCCATCTTTATTTGGATTTATATTTGCATCCCGGTCTCAGGATTCATTTAATGAAAAATAAAACTGATGACGAAAAGCCATCACCTGACTTCCAGAATTATCCGTTAAGCAAAAATAATAAATGACAGAAATCCATTAAAGGTTTAGAAAAGAAAAAAATGTTACCTTTTAGTAAAGTGGTGGAAGTTTACATTGCTTCAATGACACAGATTTGTCCCAATCATCAAGGTGCTCTTGGTTTAAAAAATAACCGTTTCCTAAAATAGAAGTTATTTTAAGCACAGCACGTCCGTCTTTTCAGCTCAGTTTGGTTATTTTTGTGTCTTCATGCTCTCTTTATGTTTGAACCTCTGACATTCTGCAGACACAAGACACCACCTCCCCTCCTGCCCATCACTCACCACTCCCTGGCTACACCTGCAGTCACCTGTGCTGCCCTGTGCGGGGACGGGGTGTGTTTAATGTCAGGGTTCACAGCTGGCTGGTGTGTCGGGGCCCTGCCTCCCGCCCTCTGCTTGGCCTTGTCAGTACCGTTGCCACTCAACTGTAGTAACCTTCTCGTCCACCGAGCCTTGTTGTTTCTACACGGGAACATGAGTGATGGTGTGACTTCCTGCTGCTGCGCTGCCTTGTGACACGCTGTGATTTTCAAAGACGTAGCTATTAGCCCGGGACAATGCGAGACCTTTTGTGCACCGTGAAAGGTCTGCAGCAATTTATTTGTTTTTTTCCCCCTCCTGCCATGTTACTTAATTGTTCATTAATTAGAATAAAAAGTGGTGCAAAGGGCAGCGTTTGGGCTCGGGCCATCTGTTCACATTATGGTTGGAAATTTTGACAACATATTTAGAAACATGGTTTCATTTTTTGCCAAACTAAAAAGAACAATTAATTCAAGAGTTATGAGATTTCAAAGCGACCCACATGCAATTGCCCAATGGTGTCACTCCAATTATTTCATGCACAAGCAAGCAGTTAACAAATGCTCAAATGATTCTTCTATCAACTGAGTTCTTGTTTTTTCAAAATAATAAGAATAAAAGATGTCACAACAGCACATTTAAAAAAACGCTGGGGCCTCGGTTGAGTGTGCCGATTGGTTCAGTGGTTCCGTGCCTGGCTTAAGGGCAACCTCGGCAGTGCTCAGGAAGTGAACTGGTAATGCCAGCTACCAGACCAATGTCCAGACTGGGTCCAGACTGGCGACCATTCGGATCCCAATCCAAGTCCCTTCCAGACTGAGCTACTGTTGCCCCATGGTGGTGATATTTGACAAAAGTGCATTATGTTAGCAGTCTTTTGTTGCACGACTTTAATTATTCACCCAACACAGAGAGAATCATGAAACCAAATACAGATACAAGTACTTAAGTAGTATACTGCAGTATCCGCCTTCCACATCATGTTGATATACAAAGGTAAATACTGTCTCGACCTGTCGGAGTCCACCTCTTCATTCCCCGCCTCCTACCTACATAAAGCATGAGGGTCATTATCAGCTCTTCAGAAGACCACCTCCTCCTCCTTCACAGTGACAGTAGAGAGCTTCTCTAATTGATATTGAGTGCTATAAGAGGAGAGGGAATAAGTTAACAGCCTCCTCACTCAGTAAACGAGTATTAATCACTTGTGTCCATCTCTCCTGGGACGGATGGATGGATGGATGGATGGATGGCTGCTGGGAGCCTCAGAGGAGTTACTGTCTGTATTAACTGTGGAGTCAGTGACATATGGATCACGTGCTCCTCAAGAAAAAAGACTTCAAAATGATCCGTGCAAGGTGTAGATTACAAAAGAGGCTTTGCTTAAACTGAAAATCTGTTGAATCAAAGTCGAATGAATGTCTTATTTAGCTGTCAAAGGGTCTTTTTATGCTCAGTGTCGATGTAAAGAAATTCAGAAATCATACACACTATAAAGTTCTGTTTGAGAACTCATGAAAGGAAATGGTCTAATGATTATTTTATTGTATCTTCAAAGTAACTGGACAGATTGTGATAAACTGAGTTTTAATGTGAAATGTAGGAGAAGCTGCACCACATTTTTTTTTTCATTCTTTGCGCTCTGAAAAAAACAACAACAACTTAAGGTTTCAGCCTCAGTGATCCATCCGTCTCACCCTCCATCTAATGCTCTTAGTTTACTCCAACACGGTGTACGGAGCAGAGGAAATGCCCACAGGGATATTCACAGCTGCCCGGTGCCATTTTAAATGGGTGAGGGATGGCGATATTGTTTTTTTGAAGGTCATGGCTGCTTGAGTGGAGAGTTCGCTTTGTCCAGAGCGTTGCTGCTCACAGGGAGCTGCACAAATATGAACAGGTGGTAATGAACCGTGTAGCAGGAGCACAGTTCAGAGGTCCAGGAAGATTGCATTTAAGGGTGGATTAGAAAACATCCCTCAGATTCTGTTCCTTTTATCGCAATCTTTTAGTCAGTAAAGGACTTAAATGATCAGACGTATTCTGCATGTATCTGAGGGCCCCTGCTCGGTATCGATGTCGGTGTGTGTATAATCAGACGCTGAACTTTCTGCTGAGATGAGTTTCAGGGTGATTAGGGGAATGTTTTTCCGATGTCTGCTTTGGTTGGGGGTGTGATCAATTGGATCCATACCCGCTAACGAAGCTTTTAATTATGGTTGTGACCTCCAGGTCTTGTTTACCTCAAAGTTGCCTTCAGTCCAGAGCTAGACTTTGCTGCACATTCCACTATGTATTTCAAAGGAAGCTCTGAAACTGTAAACTCCTCACCTGTATCAGGAGCATCTAATATTTCCAGATATATTCAGTCCCTCGTTCATAAATGATTACTCAAACACAAAGTTGAGACATTGTGCGGTTTGTTTTGCTTGTAAATGCAAATTTTCCAGCTCAATGCAGAGTTTGGAAGATGATAAATACCTACATACTCTATCATCTCAGTCCTGAGACTTCCTCTTTTTAATGTGAACATGAATAAAAACTTATTTTCTTGTACTGGGCAGATTTACAGTCCCATGCCTTTTGAATCTTTTGCAAAATATCAGATTTTCTTTCAGAGTAAAAGGTTGCATCCTGCTCTGGTTCTGTTAAAATATCTCAGTGCTACATGAAGCGTTTCTGCTTCAAGGACTCTGATGATAATATCCACTGCACAGTCATACAGGAGTAAGAGGAGGTTGGACCCCACCACCCACCCTCATCTAGCATTGAGGGGTTACACTCTAGATATTTTGATATTCCTATTCAGCCGACTTCACAAAACCCTAATTGGATTGTTTCCTGTCTGGCAGGTTTCAGAGACAGATGCATTACCTTCTTATCTGGGTTTTTAATGTGCACAATTTTAGAGCGCCGACTGAGTGAAAGGGGCTAATTGATGTTTTCATGAAGCTGTTAGAGAGCGTCATGGAGTCTGGCTGACTCATCCCTGTGAACCGGAGCTGCAGCAGCGAGGAGCGCTAAACAGCGGGGCCGACCGCTGTGCTGCTCTGTGCTGTGTTTACCGATAGCCGTATCTGAGATGACACAACTTGTTACGAGGCAAGGCAGCCACTTATCACTCAGTCCTCCCGACAAACTCAGCAGCAGTATGACCCGATATGATTGAAGATTTCAAGCTCTACTGCAGCACGAAATCCACAGACCTTGGTGAGAAGTGGGGTGGGGGGGGGGAGCCAAGGCTTCTACTAATTACCTAAGAGATTATCCAAGAGGCGCTTCAAGAGTCTCTCTTAATTAACGCCGGGATGATTGCTGCGCTCCAAAACCACTAGAGGGAGGACATGTTTGGATTGGCAAACGAGATGAGAAAAGAGAAACGCTGCATGACCAGATTGTTGCGTTGCATTGAGGTACAGCGTGTTTTTCCTGAGTGCTTGAAAAAGCCGCCACAGCAGGGCCACCGATCTCAAGCGCAGCTGGGAAGTCCTTGACCTTTACACTATCATCAATGAGAAATTGCTGAGGCTTAAGTGTCCCAGTCATCCTCTCAGAGAAACCAGACCCCCCAACTTGCAGCTTTCTTCTGCTCCGCTGCGCACAAGATTGATCACCCCCTCTCACCTTCTACCATTTTCTACTCATTAATTGAGTCCAGGAATCCCATCTCTTCTGAAGAATCCGCGGTCAATGACTCCTTGGAGCATTGAGGGTGTGTGCCATCCAAGGCTTAACAGCAACAGTTTTGTTTGCCACCAGCGAGAATACAGCTGTAGGAGCCTTCTCTGGAGGGTTGTTAAAGCTGAAGCGCTCCTCACAAGGTCATTGCCATTCCCGTCCAGGTAATATAAATCAGAGGCTGCGAGATGGACGGGGGCCGTAGTTATGTGGAGCTGATATGTGACCCGGTGACACCTTCTCAATTTACTCAGTTCCCGTTGTCGCACGTCAAGCGTAGTTGGAGTCGCATGTCAATTTGAAAGTACACGTAATCACAATATCCTGACAGATATCTGCAGAGTTATACGGCCCGTCCAATCTGAATGAAGGAGCTGTGAGGAGGGGGAAGATGGTCCTTGCTACTGCTGTCACTGGGGACATGGAAATGTGTGCTATGAGACTCCATCAGAGATTCAATGGCATCTCTTAGAGGGGCTTTATCAATCTGTCAATGCATAATAAGAAAAGAAGATCGTCATGCAAGGCCCATGCTGTAATGACAACAAGAAGAGATGACAGGTTCAGACCTACACCAATCTTTTGCATCAATCCAGAGACCTCTGAGGCCGTGCTGGATTTACTGTGTAAATAAAATACCAGTCTCTTGTTTCCTTGGTCCTCCAGAGAGCTGTCAAGGTGATCACAGATAATGCTTTTTTTTTTATTTCAGGGCTGCACAAAGCATTGAGATTCATGGCAGTAGGTGCAATAAAGTGCGATAAAATTGTCATGGGCAGACGTGATTCGCCCACCTCGTGTAGCAGAGAGTCGGTGACAAATGAGCACATTATGAAAAGCTTCATTCTGCCCGGCTTTGTTCTCGGTGTTCAGCTCCCTTCTACCATCTGATTGACTTTCAATTTCTTTGAAAACTAACGCATTAGTTCCTGTGTCTTAAGTAAGACGAATGAGTTCTTCCCTCCAATTAGCATAAACCTTTTTCAACTACGTGTGGGCAGAAAAAAAAGAGAGATGTTGTGCTTTAGTATTTGAAACTGGGAGAGAGAGCTAAAGGGGAATTCCACCATTTTTAAACCTCAATTAGTAATAGGTACAGAAAGTCTTGGAATTGCCTCCATAAATGGCTTGAGCTGGCAGCTGCAAAACAGGCTGCATTGGCTATAACAAAAAAATCATTTCCACTATAAATGCTTGATTTGACACTCACAGTATCAGAATGGTATTTGACGTGACAACACTGCAGAAAAAGCAATTTTTTAAGGGAAAGTGCCATTTCATTGATCTGCTCGGGGTCATCAGACTTCATTTACAAAAACAATGCATGAACTTCAAAGTGTCTACAGCTGCCTGAAGCAATACGTTTGTCTGTGATTTTGCGTTTTAAAGGCAAATTTGAATGAGACATAATATTTGTGTAGCACAAACAAGACAAAAACTAACTGATAGGGATATGCAACCCTCTGCTACTGCAAGGAAAAATCCTGCTTTTCTCTAGGACTCTGGTTGTTTTATTATAAAGAGCTGTTGTTGAAAGAAAGTATCTAACTCTTAGTTCCATCACTGCCAGGATTCTTTCCTGGTGCTTTCACACATGCACAAAAACTCCTGAAAACTTCCAGAAAATTTCAGGCTGAGCTCCATGTGTGAACGCAAAGAGCCGCATTTCTCCACTCCTACCTTACCTGGAATCTTTGCTGCTAGACACGAGTAAAGTTTCTGTATGAAGTTGAGGTGAGTTGATGTGAGAATGCAGCAGGTAGTATCCTGAAAAATTCCCCTTAAGTAAGTCGAAGGGGGGTGATCATGGTAATATCCTGCAACTGTCACAAAACCATAGTAATTTGGAGCACGCTGCTGCCAGCTGAAGAAATCTACAGAAGCAGTTCTTAAACTTTTTGTACCTCTTAGCCATTCCTCTCAAAAAAACATTTCAGAGCAGGTTAATGAATAAAGACAGAATCCTTTTTTCCTGGAGCTTGCCATCATGTCTTCTTCCTCACAGCCTCTCCTGCAGTATTTTAGTCTTGGCTGAACTTGTAAAAGAGGAGCTTCAGGTAGTGTATTAGTGCTGAACCACCCCGAGGCACTCTTAATTAAAAGCCCCATGCCAGTTTCCTTCCTGCGAGTGTCGGTGTCAGATAGGCATAAAGCTCACTTTCTCCTGCCCGCCACCTCTTCCTCCCTCGTGTACGGCGGGGAGACAGGTGGCTGTGCTCGGTCGTTCACACGCTGCAGACAGAAAGGTGGAATGAAGATGAGAGTTTGAAGGAGAAAAATGTCAGGAGGAGCAAAGAGGAGCAGACAGATGGGGTATAGTGATGGCTCTTTCACATATTAGAGATGTTTTTTATGACAAAGAAGTGGAGAGTCATGCAGAAAGGAATTGGCAATCTACAAAAGAGCCGAGAATCGGAGACGCTTTCATGACCTAAAAAGACTCCTTTATTAAAGTGATAGCTTGTGGGATTGTGATCCTGACTTCTGGTTAAAGCTGAGTTGTAGTGGATCGGCAGAAAACTATTAACGGTCATTGATTTATCTTTTCAGCCAAGCGTTAAGCCAAGTGTCAGAACATTCTCTGCTTGTATTGTTTAAATATTATAGTAAATTAAATCGCATATTGTCACCATTTATTCACATTTATGTAAAGACAATATCTCACAGATTAAGCATAAGGAAAATAATTGGTCATGGCTGCCCTACGTCTTTGTCCGTGTCCTTGCAGGTTGGTCCGATGCCCGGCAGTTTAACCCATGTGTACAAAGGGGGGGATGGAGGTCAGAAAGGGGAGGATTTCAACTCCCAGAGCTTTTCCCAGAGCCAGAGATTACTTTGGATGAAAGCCAAAAAAGCATTAAATATTGACCACCTATGGGACAGGTTTTCACTTTGGCAGCTGATATGTTTGAGTGCTCCATCTACACGTGTACTGTATATATATATGTGTGTATGTGTGTATGTGTGTGTGTGCGTGCGTGTGTGTGTGTGTGTGTGTGCATAAAAAGTGTGAAACAAAGGGGGGAGGATGTAGGTTTGACTTTTCAAATTCTGGATATATTTCTCTGTTGTAGTCACTTAGCAAAGATCACCTTGTGTCACCATTAATGTCCCATTAGAAGACAATGAAAATATATGCATCTTGCATATTTAATGTCACATTTATCATCAGCAGCCCTTCTGGGTGAACGCAAACTGAATTCAATTTGCATCCACTTTCTTGCCTCTTCTTTGTTTAAAAGGGAAAGTGATTTTTACTTGCAAAAAATCTCCCAGACACCAAAAAATAGTCTAAGAAGGCAACACAGTGAACAAAGAGCAACAAAGGAGAACCTCCATCAGAGGTCTGCACCTCTGAGGTCGTCCATAGGGCGGTGCAACGGGCTGATTCTTTGGGCCAATCAACGGACTGCATTGTGTCTAGCTCCAGCCTTTAAGGTCAGATTGATACCCTTGGCAGTTTAACAGAAGGGCAGCAAAAAGGTAGGATGGCACGGATCGGTTATTTTGGTACCAACAAATGTGTACCGAACCAAACTGAACCGGACTGCTTGGTGGAAACATGGCTTTATGTAAACAAAGAGTATTTCTACCTGCAGTAATACAACTGTTTCCTTTGAAATCCTCCAAGGACTCTTCTATTCTTGTTAATTTTTTCCTTGACACTTTCCTCCTATCCCCTTTTATTGCTGATGGTTGCTGTTTCCATTTGTTCAGTCCGGCCTGATAATTACAACGAGTTCTGTCCTCCTGATGTGCATTGAAGTGCCACTGCAGCTGATTGATGATGCCTGTTCGGATTATTTGCCTTCAACTTTTGTTAGCACTGCAAACCTGCGCTAGAACCAGAAACAAAACCATTCTGAAACCTGCTGTTCTTACCCGCGCTAACCATCCAAGACAGCAGGGTCTCTCTGTCATGTATACACTAAAGTCTCAGAGCACTCAGTGGTCTGTGGTCTAAACTCATTTTCTGCATATGTGTGACAAATTATTGGACTGCTTGTGTTTAAAGGACAGCTTGATGATGGGAGTTGTGGAGCTGGCTGCGTGCCATCGCAGGGCTATGACTAACTCCTGGTGTCACGGCTTGATTCAGTGTGTGCCTGTCACATAACTGTCGGTCCATAACCTCACTGCATGGGGGGGGTCTCCTTTAGATATGCTCATGCTTGTTGCCACCTCCACAATCAATTGGAGATGGGATTTTAACAGCAGGAGGTGGAGACACATGGGGATGGCTTTTCTATCTTCTACTAGCTCCAATGATTCTATGGTTGGCCGTGACATTTCCCCTGGTTTTTATTTTACACCTGATGTTTCTGGGACAAACCGCTGGAAGGCAGATCCACTCCCAGAGTAGAAATCTTACATACTGTACATTTTCTGTTTTATTTGTTATTTATAGGGCAAAGTATGGACTATCCAAAATGACCTCATGCTGAGTGTCCATGCTTTTCATTGTGTGTTATGATGATCCATGACTTATATGACTTAATGTCTTCTCTTGTCTTTTGTCTACAGCGTTCACCATGATGATCGTCTTGGCTCTCATCCGTATTGGTAAAGGCACCGGTGAGGGTCACCCACCGGCTGCCAGCCTCGCCGGGGTGCCCAACCTGTTTGGGGTGTGTGTCTACTCCTTCATGTGTCAGCACTCCCTGCCCTCCCTGGTGACGCCGATATCCAACAAGAAACATGTTGGCAAACTGGTGTTGTTAGACTACGTCCTGATCCTGGGCTTCTACGTGCTCCTATCCTTCACTGCCATCTTCTGCTTCAAGAGCTCGCTGCTACACGACATGTACACCCTTAATTTCACAGACAACTGCCACGTGTTGAATATTCCGTTCTTGCGTTACTTCCTGGGCCTTTTCCCAGTCTTCACCATCAGCACCAACTTTCCAATCATCGCCGTCACACTCCGCAACAACTGGAAGACCCTGTTCTATCGTGATGGTGGCACCTACCCCTGGGTGGTGGACCGTGTTGTGTTCCCCCTAATTACCCTGGTGCCCCCGATTGTGGTGGCCTTCTGCACCCACAACCTGGAGTCCCTGGTGGGCATTACAGGAGCGTATGCTGGCACTGGGATCCAGTACATTATCCCAGCAAGCCTCGTGTTTTACGCTCGACGCCACCTGGAGCCCGTCGTGGGAAGAGATGCGGTTAACAAACACCGGTCTCCGTTCCGCCACAGTTTTTGGGTGTGGTTTGTTTGGTTGTGGGCCGCTTTCTGCCTCATGTTTGTCACAGCCAACATCATCCTGACAGACACCAAGAAATGAGAACTTACTGATCCTCAAACTTTCTAAGAAAATCTGTATCTGTTTGGCCAGTTTCCTTGTTCCTGTACACGAGGCCTTACTTGCTGCTGGTTGGACAGTGCCTTCTTATGGGACTTATGTTGCATATATCAAATGTAATTAAGAGTAATTTATCAAATTTTGTTAAAAGGGATGATTTTGTCAGCAAACGATCAACAGTCTAAGGTTTGGCGGATTTGCACTTACACAACTATTTAGAAATATATCTCAAACGTTCAGTTTGCTTCAAACGAGGAAGTCTTTAAAAAGTGTTGACCTAGCTTTTTAGTCAAATTGTTTCAGAAAGTTTGAACACATATCCAACCCTGACTTGACAAAGTTCACCGCCGGGTGTCGGATGCTGTTGAACAATCCAACAAACTGTCCGGTTGAAGCAGACTGACTTGTTAAGGGTTCTGCTGGTTATCTACCCTGTAGTTCTCAGTTTAAGTATTTTTCATCAAAATCCCAAACTCTGGAAATGGTAGGGTGCATGATCTGTATGTAAGCATTGGACGAAGCCATCATGATGTCATCCACTGGTTTTCCAGAAATGCTTTGAAGCCATAAGATGGACTTTTTAACGCCACCATTTTGGCTCCACATAATGGTAGAGCTGCAGGGGAGCAATTGGTTACCATATGCTACATTGTTAGCCTAAGCTAGCTTTACCTTGGTTAGAAACATTTTCCAAAGTGTATATAGTACGTCCACTTTTTATATACAGTCCGAGGTTTGTAGCTACTGGCACTTTACGAGTTCTGTGAGTTGTCCGATGTGTAATTCTATATTTCAGTGTTTCTTCTTTAAATCTAAAGCTCTAGAAAAGGGCAGGGTGTTAAAACTCTGAGATATTCATTGGACCTTCAGGGCAAAATGTTGCAGTGAAAAGAAATACAACCAACTGGGAGAGCCGCGTAGAAAGGAGAATTAGAGCCTGTCACGTTCAGGCTTGAGCTCTGTTGCGGAAATTGCTTTGCGTCTGCACCGCTGAATAATGCAATTGGACGAAACCAACGGACGAAAGAAAAAGGAAAGAATCAGGGATGATCCGTCTCTCCTGGCTGATGTGTATCCATTCGTCTGCAGTGTCTGCCTCCCATCCCCTCGTCCCCTCGTCCCCTCGTGAACGATGAAGCTCTGAAGTGACAGATCCTCTGACAGATAGGCCTCCAGGAAGAGCTCCATCTCTGTTCATCACCCCAACATATCACATCTTTAGTTCACTCTCAGGGCATGTCTCCGTCTTTTACTGCTCAGCACACGTTCATGACTCTGTCAGCCTCTATACTGTATCTATCACGCAGTGCGACACCTGACCTGACAGGATAATAGTGATCTACAGGGCTTCTGCTCTGGATCTGCACCGGCATCAGTGTATGGAAGTTGAATGGTAGTGAACGTAATGTGACCACAGAGTTTCATAAACATACACATCTGTACTGTAGCTTAGTAATGTTGATTTCACTGACAGGTGGCAGCTTTCTTTCAGAGTTGTGCCTCTGGTTAACGGACTTCACACCTTCATCTTTTACCTTTCTTATTCTGTATTTGTGTTTTCCAAAATGCATTACCAACAAAGAAATACTCCTTAAATCTTCGGCCCACCCTTAGCACAAAGACACATGAATGGTTAACGGTGGTTTGTTTGTGTCACTGACAGCAGGCTGGAGTCGTTAGGACTATTTTACAGAAGAAAGTAAAAGCTCTGGAATCTGTTAAATATGCTGTTTATGGGCTATTCAGACCAGCAATGGCATTGTCTGTGGAAAGAAATGTTGCTGCTGGAAAGCTCCACACCAAATTCTTAGGAAATATCCGATGTGTAAGGTTGGAGGCAGAAATCTCCCAAAGCTGGACAAATCCAACCAAATGTAGTTGGGGTAAAAAGTATAAGGCTCTGATGATCTCGCAAAAATAATTTGTGGCGTTGAGAAGTTTAGGAGACCTGATGTGGATGAGTCAATGACTCTATGTATGGTCAATTTAAAATTAAAATAAAATACTATGTACTTTAGCTTTATCATTCAGCAAACAGTTTAACCAAATTCAGTGTCTAATTTGAGCTTCCCGTTCTTTCTCTCTCTAAAGAATTGTAGAAAAAATATATATTATTTTCCATAAAACCTGAAATTCTCACCATGAAGTGGAATAACTACAGTATAGATTCAAATGCATATATTGTAAAAAAAAATGTGTACAAAGTAGAGGAAATTAGCAATCCATATCCACTTTGTCTATTGTGTAAGTTGGGACATCGACATGGGAGTTAAACCGACTTTAAAAAAAACTGTTTAAAGTGTATATGAATAACGATTTAAAAATCTTTATTTTTATGTAATGTGTGCAATAATAACACAATCAACTGTGTCGATATAGAGAATAACCGACTTGTTGGGAGAATTATCATTCAGCAAAGCATTAAATCCTTCCCCTTTTTCTATCATGCTGTTACCACGAGCGGTTAAATGGACGCCACTGGTTTTCCCATATTTGTATTTAAATGCTTCTACAGTTTGGGTCAATTAGCATGCATGGCCATCATCAGGGTGAGGAGCAGTTCAGTGGGTTGCGGGGCCGTTTCGAGAGGCTGTGCAGCGTTTTTCATCAACTGCTGGAATGAATGCAGTTTAGATGGAAAGGTAATGTGCTGTGACTCCGGTGTTTTAAAGGCCACAGCGACTGTATGCATCGTAGCATCATTGTAGTCATTGCTGGCGTGCTGTCAAGGGTGTAGAACCTGTTGAAAGCTTTGTGATGTTGTCTGCTTTGTTCTGCCTGTCCTCATCAGACTGTAACGAGACCAGAGATGGACTTAGCTCATCCTTCTGGGTCGAATTCATCAGTTAATTCAGTTTTTACAGAAAACTGCAGGTCATCGGGTCATATCATAACATCTTTCGGCCTATAGTTGTTGGCTTTTGTCTAACTGGGATGGTACTGGAACATGGACTGTGAATAGTAGTTGAATGTGGCCCATAGTGATGTCACCTATCTATTTGTTGATTACCAATTTAAAGCCTCCATCTTGGCATTGTGGCCCTCCCAATCTCGGTTCCAGATTGGACATGACCGGAGCTAGCTAAACGAGATTAGCAAAGTTACAACATCCATGTCCAAGACTACCTATTTAGCAGTTTATGCCTGTTTATTCAAAAGAAGAGATCCAATTGGTGGTTGTGGCTAACAGGCAGTTTGATATAATTCGACGACCTTATAGGGCGAGTTGGACGCAGCAAATGAATGATTACATAAAAGAACCTAGTTTCATAATTTCTCCTCATCTTTTTTTCTTTATGGAGAAAGTGGACAGCAATCCTGTCTTTGATGCACAGTTGACGTCATTTAATCACTTTATTAGAAGCGTTGACACAAGATTACCAACAGGTATTATGAGCGGAGACACAGATACCTGCTGATTAGTGCTAACATGATAAATAAATACTAGGTATTCACTTATCTCATAGGCTCAAAACGCCGCTCAGAAACGGTGTGATATTTGCATTCAAAGATCTTCAAAAGTAGCATTTTAACATGGGACTCTATGGGGATTAACTCGCTTTTGAGCCAGCCTCTTGTGGCCGTATAAGGAACTGCAGCTTTCTCTTTTCTTTTTTTTTTTGCACTTCTGCGTTGGCTTTATTTCTCAGCTCTGGAATTTGACGCGTGATGTCAATGTGAAATCTGCAGCAGTTTGTTTTTTTTGCATATAGAAACATAAACATTCATTAATATTATGTGTAATGAAGATGTTTACATTCCCACTTCTGTGCCGTCTGGTTTTAATTCTCACATTTTCTGATGTTTCCACCTGACGGGGAACATTGTAACGAAAAGTACAAACACTTCAACCCTGATAGATATCTCTGATGTTACATGGGAATAAAAGTGTGATTGTGTGTGTGTGTGTGAGTGGATGATAAGATGTTAAATGTGCTGAATGTGATTCTGATGACTCTTGTTTGGAGTTTTGAAATGTGCCTTTATTATTGTGCGGGAGGTTTTCCTGCGCTGACCTCGTCGACTCTTATCAACTGTTTTTATTTTGCCAGACTTCATCTGCATGTAAGCCAATTTATTGAACTGACAATCTGTGTGTGTGTGTGTGTGTGTGTGTGTGTGCATCCCATATACCTTATCATATTTCATTCTGTCTTTTATCTTCTGTTGTCCTTACGTTCACTGTTTTTCTGTCATTTCACATATTTTTTTTTACATTCATTCTGCCAGCCTGTGATTCTCAATCGTTTTCTGGATGTTAACTGCTTTAATTGATGTTCTGTTTGGTTTTTAATGAACAACAAAGAAAAAAATAAAACCTTTATGTTCATCTGAATCTCCTGGATGTCAGTTACTTTAAGGGATGTCCGGTTTTCTGAAATTTGAATTTGAAAGTGTTTGACCCTCATGCCAAACCCTCATTGATGACACGTTTGAATCCCAGGTCAGATGTTTGCCTCTGCATGTGTACCTTAGCACATTTATGTTTCAGGCCATGAATGTGTTCCAGTTAACATACATTTAATTTGTGTAAAGGGTAGTCTTATATTAATAATCCACTTTTTTAGTGACTCATAACCAGCGCGCTTGATGACAAAATCCTCCAAATAAATGCACCAGGTTGCACAAACACAACGTCAGAGTTTAGTGATGACAGCTGAACAACTGGAGGAAATCCTTCCGCCTCTTCGGTGATGGATCATCATCTGGCTTATTTCCAAACTGCTTGTTGTCAAAAACACATCCAGCTCTCTCTCCTTCAAATGCCAATAAAAAAAAATCAAAGTCTCTCCGGCGTTCTGGTACTCAGTCGTACTCCTACTCTGTTTCACAGCGATCGGCACTATTTGTACCTGATCTCCAGGTAATAGGCTGCTTCTTTTTCTTTTTACACCTCCGTTCACCTCAATCTTCCCTGAAGCACCTCAGTGGGTTTTTTTTTATTGACACACAAGATCTCTGTTTTTATGATCAAACCAAAGCTCCTCCTCTGAATTCCAATCTGCAGGCTGCTCTCTCCGCTGTAATTGAATTCACCCTCTGCCCTCTTTATGTAGGTGGGGGGGGGGGGGGGTGCCCGTGTGTTTGTGGGGTAGAGCTATAATTGGAAATGCAAACTTGGCACTGCTTAATTAATTCACAGTGCGTTTAATTGCTGCTTGGTTTATGCAGTGTGGAGAGCAGGTGCCGGCTGATGTTTGTTTGCAGATATTTGATCTCCTGCAGAGAAAAAAAAAAATATATAAAACTCATCTTTTAAAAAAAAAAAAAAAATGCAATCAGACAGATGTGCTCTCATCTTCAGTGAAGCACAAACTAAATGAGATTATCTGCAGAATTAAACTCTGGGTAATGAGATGATCTTGATTGGAGTTTGTCCTTCATGTTACCTGTCGATACAGTTTGTACTTTTCTAACTTTGTCCTATTTTTTAAAAACATTTTGGAGTCTGAATGAGGAATAGGTAGCAAGTGATTTGGAGTTTCTCTTGTAAGTTTTTTTTTCAGCTAATGGCTGTGAGATAAGCAAAATCTCAGCACGTCCACTTTAAGAGCTTCTTTTTCCCCACCGGGATGGTCAGGTAGTCAATCTACACTCGCGTGTACCGGTCTGTCAGGGAAAGAAACGCTGCACATTTGCACATCTTATTGTGTGTTTACTGCGTTGAAAATCCAGCAACCAAACAACAGACTACTGTGAGATGACGGCGTGCCAAGTGGTTGCAGAGAAAACATGATGGATGTAGCAGGTAATGTGAAGGTAAACATGCAGTGTGATAGTATGGAGAGCGTCTCTAACCATGATAAATGTGCAAATATATACTGTATGCTCATGACGTATTTACATGAAGCTTTCAGCCGAGCTCGACGCAAAACAACAAATATGTGTTTTATTAGACATTCATGCTACTCAGTGAAAACATGTTGATGATAACTTTGCTTTTCGTATCGCCTCTACACATTTAAAGGAACGACTGACGCTAAATCAACAGCGACAGGCCATTGCCAAGGTTGTTCTGATTCTGACTTGTTTCCTATGAAATGCTGGATCTCCAGTTTTCAGAACGTTTGGGACATTTTTCTCTTTTGTTTTGATGTGACTAAAACTTTTTCCTGACAGAATATGTTTTTAAATATTTATTTTTTGGCTTTTTGTGACTTTATTCGAGAGACAAGACAGTGGATAGAGTCCGAAATCAGGGAAAGAGACAGAGGGGAACGACAGGCGGGAAAGGAGCCACAGGTCGGATTCGAACCCGGGCCGCCCGCTTGGAGGACTGCAGTCTCCATATATGGGGCGCGCACACCAACCACTGCCCCCTGCAAACATGTTATGAAAAGGGTTGGCAAAATTAGCCAAAGCTTCAGCCACACTGGTTGTTTTTGGACTTTTGTTTTGACTTCACCTCTCACACCTCTTTGATATGTCCATTTTTCTTACACTGTCTATAAACTGTACCTATCAGCAGAGTATCCTTAATCTGTTTCACCTCTTCAGTCTTGTAACTCTCAGCTTTGCTCGTATAACCCCCAGCTTCTTCCTCCAGCACATCCTCCTGTATCACAGCCTCATGAAACCAGAGACCATGGCCCCCCTTTTTTCTTATTGCTGCCAATTTGCCGCCGCTGCAACCGAAGCGCCCCACTAAAAAGTCTGAAAGTTTATTTTTCTGTCCCTTTACTGAGAGTCTGTGAAGCCTGCTGGATGCTCAGAGAATGACTCCCATGTTTGTCCTTGGGAGGAGACAGTAGCTTACACACACACACACACTGGACCATCTGCGGTCGAACCCCCATTCTGCTCCCCCGGCTTTATTACACGATTTATTTACTCTGGCTGCTTCAGGTGCTTCTGTGAGACCTGCTGTCCCCCCACAGGTGAGCCCCCGGCGGTGAAAGCGATTATGACTCTATCAACCGGCCTTATTAAGTGTCAGCAGAAGCGGGACACGGCGGGGCCCGCTGCAGACTCCAGTCACAGTCGACGGTGCAGAGGGGAAAATCGGACCCACAGCGTCCTATTTCAGGCCGCCCGGCGCTCGTTAGCAGGTCGCATGTTCCCTCTGTCTGCTGTCGTGCTGCACAACCGTCCTGTCTGAAAGGTTTGGTGTTCACCTTGGCTCGGCCTCGGTGATGGGAGTCATTTCAGGCAGCAGCGGTAAACACAGTGGCTACAAGATAAGACGTGACTGCAGTTATTTAAGCAGCGCCCGGGGGCTTGTTTACTGGCAGTTTCACTAAGTACCCGAAAGAATGAGCGAGATCGAAAAAAGAGGCATTAAAAGTTAGAATCTACGTCATCTGCCAACTGCCTTTTGTTAGTTTCCAACATCATTCACATTCAACATTTCCCTGCCTGAGGTTTTTTTTTTTTTTTTTAGTATATTTGGATCTCATTACCAGACAGGTGTAGTCTCATCTTGTACTGACAGATGGCTTTCTTTTAATTCCAGGCAGATGCTTCCCCCTTTTTTTTTTTTTTAAATGACCTCTTTTTTTTTCTCCCACTCGTGCCTGGGTGCTGCAAGGTTCATAAGCACAAACGGGGGGCTTAAGAGAAGTCTTGTGGAGAGATTAGGGTCACAGTATTTGAGGGATGGTGGCCAAGCCTGACTGAGCTGACACTTGTCGTCATGCGGGACAGAGGTGGTCGTCTGAGGACGTTTACTCAACTGTCTCAGCTGCTGATTCTAAAAAAGGAGGGGGGCTCAAAATCGGCCCGATTATCTTCTATCTTCCATACCTTTACTCTTCACTTCTGCTTTCTCTGTTGCCACCTAATGTTGTCAGTAAACGTAAATCTTGAGGAGCACAATCCTCTAACCCACCCTGAGGATACTGGGCTTTGATTCAACAATTGGTTACACAGTTAAAGACTTTCTATGTGATTTTTCACACTTAAATGTAGAAATCAAGTATATCCTCTGAAAATAACTCTGTGAGTCATGACTGTCTACAATGGGTGTAACACCCGAGTCCCACTGTCTGTGATGTTTTCAGAGTTTTCAGAGTCCTATCTTCAGTTTGTTTACATCGTTGGGACGGCCGGCTGACTCCTCCCCTCATGTATAAAAGTTGTTTAATTGAGGGACTAGAGAAAAGAAGAATAACATACTGTACTCACTGCTTAACTGTGTTTCTAGATCACGCTCATTTCAGGTAAATTTACATGCAGTGTGAAGATACCAGCATAATAAAGATCGCTAGCATTAGCATGCTAACACAACAATGCAGCGCGAGTTGTTTTGGTTTCATGCTGGTGCTCAAGGGCGACATCTGCTGGATCAAAAAATCCCATATAAGTGCTGAGGTCATCTCTCTGTTACTGCTCTAAAACCCTGCAGACTCGTTTTCATTCTGACCTCAGACACAGTTTTTTCTTATTTCTTCCACCATGTCTGCCATTCTTTTGGATCCTCTCGTCTTCCTCTCGGGATGTGTTGACAGGAGCTGCGGTTGAATATTCTGCCGGCGTCGCGTCTGGTGAGAGTGTCAGAGGAAGATTTATCACCATTACACCGAAACATTCAGATGAGCACGAGCAGAGACACTGACACTCTGTTTGCATTCAGGAGGCGTTCACTTCCGTCTTTGACCCGATAGACCCCGCAGCCATTCATCAATCAACACTTCCTTCTTCTCAAGTCAACGGATACTGCCTGGGTGTTATTATTTGTTTTATTCATTTTATGTTTCCTCACAGAGTTATTGTTGCTGATTGTTCTTAATCCCTTCAGGAGACACCAGTCCGCCTCAAAATATATGATTTTTTTTCTGGGTGTTTTCAGCGTCACATGACGGTCTAAATGCTGCTTTAAAGGCTTTTCCATCCTCAGGGAAACACTAATCCCTGCAGCCTTTTTACTTTTTGGCAGGGGGGGAGGCATGTTCATGTTAAATACTTTCACTTTAGCATCAGTATCAGCATTCAAAAAGCCATATTTGTCTAATCCTAATCCAGGCAGCATTATGTCATTTGAGCCCTGCAGGAGCTAAATGAGCGCAACAAATGTCCAACAATGTGTGCTTAAACGCTGGGAATTCTTCTTCAGCGGTTATTTATACGGGTGTGAGGACAGACATTTTGACTGAAGACAGAGAAGGACAAAAAAAAAAAAAGAGATTGTGGTGCAGCTCAGCTCTCCATTACGGCTGCCGGGTCAGCGAGCGTCTCACTGCTGTCTGCTGCTCGCCGCTTCACTGAGAAACCTTTTTTACAGGAGCTGGAGACCCTGACACCTGTCTGGTTAACAGATTCAGTCCATGACACACAGCGTACACAGCCATGCCTAGTGGCTCTCTGTCATTCATTCATAACGCCGGCTGCTCACACACA